TACTCATAAGTATTAGTACTAGAAAATCTTTAAAATAATCATTATCCTCTTAACCTTTATAAATAATTCAGTCTTCATCCTTAAAACTTATTATAAACTATATTCGTGATAAAATCTACCTTCTAGAATATAATTTGTAATAATATTGTTATTGATCAAAACTATTCAAGAATATTTGTAAATATATACTTAGTTATGAAGAATATCAAAGAAATAAAAGTAATAATCAATCATCCTCAAAACTTTTATAACTCTTGGATAGTGTTGGAAATAAATTACTTTGAATTTTATTATTCAATTACCAATAACTCACCAAGATCACAATACAATTCTAGTTATTATCAATTATCTTACTAAATACATCCATTTCATTCTTATACATATTACTATTATTACACCTGAAGTTGCTAAACTCTTTTTTAATAATATCTTTAAATTAATATGGATTATCTCATATTATAATTTCAGATCATGATGCTAAATTTACTAGTCATTCCATTTTTCATATGAAAATTCGTTTATTTACATACCGATCCTCAGTCGGAAATTTTTCCTTGTAAATATTCCCAAACTTTAATTAAAGTGATCAGCATATCACGTTTTATTAATTTATCGGTTTAAATTTTTGATTATTAACGTTAGTTTTTTTCCTGATTTATAAATAGGTGAGATGCAGATTTTTTGTCGATCAATTTTATTTCAACTCCATCAAAATTTAAACCAATTAACAAACGGTTTTTGTAACTTTATTTTTCATATTTTTTTACGTTAAAAAATTCTTTCTAATTGTCTTAAAAATTCCATTTATTTTTTGTTGGTTTAAGAATTTGATAATCATCACTTATTGAACTTTTGAACAATTTTTGTTATTTGTGACGCTGACGAGATTTTACTACGATGATGATAATTTTCCAATGCCATTATTGGTATCATAGAAGGTCTGAAAATCAAACTCATAAATTAGATACAAATAGTAAAAAATGATGGTTTCGTACACAAATGTTGCTAATAAATATTTCCTATACATTTATTACCTTCCATGGGCACATTGAAATGGAAAGACGCATGTAACAAGCTTCTGTACAAGTCTTTTGCATTGATCAAGTTCTAGTAGATCATTGAACATGATCGCGCCTTTGTTATAATAATAGCAGACACAAATATAAAAAAGTTATTATCATTTTTTATTATCAAGAATACAAGACAAAGATCTATATATTTATCACCTCGACAAGCTTTCGAATTCAAAATATCCAAAATCCCTTTCGGACATGTTCTTAATATAACTGACCATTTTTTATCACATTCAACGTCATCATTTTGTTGCAATCCAGTCACGATATCCTCAAGCGAAACTCCGATCCCATCACAATTCTCTTCGAGCCAAAAAAGATGTCGTCTGATAAGATCCTGTGTAATTCGTGTGTCGGCAATACATCGGTCGACAATAGCTTCTGGCAAGTGAGTTATGTATATGAGAGTGTAGGCAGTTTTGTTACTATTGTTGTGAATAGATGTTGCTTTTGGCGTCACAGAGGTAGAATGTGAGTGAATATCTTCTGATTTCTCAAGGTCACCGTCGTAAAATATCCCCCATTCATTGAAATATCGTGCAAATCGTTGAGCTGCCTGTGCTTCTCGCTGAGATAAAACGATTTTGATGGGTGATTTCAACTGAGCCGTATCAATTATTGAAGAAAACTTGTCTGAATCGGCATCCTTTATTTTTTTATCATCGATTTTAAAAGTGCATAATTCTTTGAGAAGCATCTCAACACGAATACGTTCATCTGCCGCATGTTGATCCACAAGAACAAGAATCTGTTTGATTTTATTTTTACTTTTCACGCTGTCATTAATTATTTTTCCTCTTTCTCCGATTTTTTCTTCTTTTCCTTCTTCGTGATCTTTTCGATGTGGGATTTTGCACGCGATAAACTTTCCATCGACTTGTCCAATAACTTCAGCACGTTGAATTTCTTGTTTTGTGAACCAGTATTCGTTATCAAGTGAGCGAAAATTATAATTATCCAGATTTGATGAAGATAACGATGGGAGAGGAGCTTCAGTATTTTTGAAAATAGGATTGGACCATTTCTATTATAGTTGTGTGATTATAGATAGTAATTGTTAAAGAAATGACAATACATTTATTGTGAGTATAATGAATCACACCTTGAATTTTTCCTTAACCCAATTTGAACAAGAGCCCATTGCATCTTCATTACCGTCAATCTTGTCTTCTTGAAAATTCATTGATGTCCGCAAAAAACGACGATCAACTTTTGCACAAGAAGAGGGATCCTTCTTGGCATTATTATGATCATTATGGTTGTTATTAGAAGGTAAATTTTCGTAGCTGCGAAAATCTAGCTGTTAGAGGATAACTTCGCAGTTCGTACGATAGAAAAATCGATAATAATTCTTTCTTGACATACGAGTTTCCAGTCCTATTATCGATGTAGAAAGTATGTTTGGTGATAGGATCTGTCCATTTAATGTGCTCGTTTGTTTTTTCAAAGTTTAAGCTGTTTTTGTTCTTATTTTCGGAATCAATGTTGTTTTGTTGTGACTAATGATCAACAATTCAATTAATACTGATTAAGGTCACTATCTAATTAATCAATGATAAAATACCGATTCGGAGATAGATTTTTTCAAAGGTACCACCGCTACTTTATCTTTTATTGTCGCTAGGTCACTGAAGTTGACATCTCCGACTATAATATGCGCACCTTTCAATTCTTTGTCCTCAAAGATTTTTTTCTCTTTCGGTATACTGTTGATATTACTATTGCTACTACCGCTTTTTGCATGTACCATATCTTTAAATGATGCCAATAACTTTTGGTCCGCGGAATGACTACGATCATGATGATACTGAGCAGTGAAAAAAGATTTCTTATGTGCTACGATTGGATCATCTTCTGATTTATTGCACTGAGGATTATGAGAATGGGATCGTGATTTTTTCTCCAAAAAGCCAAAGGTAATCAGGAATTTTTCGATTAATGCACTTAGAAGGTCTATGATTTCAGACCAATCCTATATAATATAGTATATAATGGCAAAATCCAAAAAAATTAAATCACGAACGATAGTAATTAAAAAATTTCAACCAATAAAGTATATAAATTAGGCAATACCTTGAATTCGATTATATTTTTTAGAGGATCGAGACAAATTTCGTAGTAATTTTTCGGACAAGTGATATGCAATAGAAAAATTGGATGGTAGTTTTGGTGATAGTGATGGTGATAATGTTTCTCTGATCCTTTTTGATCAAAAATCGATAAAACCCTGCTCAAAAAGAAACAAAATAAAAATGATCCCAAATAAACAAATAAACAGAAATTCTTACTTGAATCATACAATGATTCTATTTCCTTTGTAAGAATTAAATAAGAAGAAAACTTTCAGAATAATGTAACAGATACATATCATAATTATCCTTCGACTCTTACCGAATCTCTATAGAAATTGCTTTTCACGAAGACCGTTTCAATTGTCTTGTATAGCACATTGTATGAGATGAATCGACCATTTACATCTAAAGCAGAACATAAGAAGATAAAATCCGGTAACCACATAGATATGATGTGTGATATGCAATACATACAGACATATTGATATTGCTGAAGTAGGAAAAAAATTTACAATAAGTTAGCTATAAAAAGAAATCGATGTCATAAATATAAAAAATTGTGTTATTCACCTTTGTATGATACCCTCTCATCGACACAAATCCATTAATTTTCAAATCACCTTGCTCCGCAAAGACATACTCAAGATCCTAATAATATGCAATAGGATATTTTATATAGCAATATTATATAATATCGAGGTTATTATGTTTGCAAAGCACCTACCTGCGCGAGTGGTACTCCAAAAAGTTGTCTGAATCTAGAAATAATGGAAGTTGTCTAATAAAAAAAAGATTAAATCGAATAGAATATTAATTAGTCAGTATCATTATTCTTAGTATTAGAACTAATATTATTCGCACTTTCTTCACAAAAAGGAGCTTAATATTCTGGGACGAATCAACGAGAGTAAATGTCACATTTGAATGAATCAGCGCATGAATTTCAATCCCTCTTTTCAAGTTCTCAAGTTCATTCGCGATGGAATCTGCAGATCGGCGTTTTCTTCTAACCGGAAGCTATTATATAAAGAATAACGTAAATTAAGCATAGTCATAATGATTGGATATACAGTATTTAATTAAAAAGTCACTACCACATAAAAGAGATCACGAATGATCACTATGGTACCCGGTTGCTTTCCCTTTGTCATTCGTATAGAGTGATGTCGAATAGATTTTCCATCCTATTATAAAATTTCAATATTATGTAAACAATCGAAAATCATTCGTATAAACACTCGTTGTGTTCTAACCTTTAATACGACACTGTAACCATCAAAATAATTTGGATGTTTGCTAATTATTTCCAAAAGAGCAACTTCTGAAATACTAGCCAACGCTTTTTTATTGATTTTTCACATTATTTATTACGTTGATCCAAGACAAGATTGCGATAGTTTCTCAAAAATATTTTTATAAGTAAAACCTTCGCCACGAAATCCATAGGTAATCGCTCGTTGCAAATCCTCCAAAGTACTACATCTTGATGTGACTAATTATGAATGTAATTGTGTTAATCATGAACGTATTCTGGTAAAGAACGAATATATGCGCCTGATTTTTTGTATACAATATCGTTGTCCGATTTTCTGCAAATCTTCGGGGCTGATTCCACACCCATTATCAAGAACCTGCAAGAAATAATTGGGAACATCCACATGGATCTCTATGGCTGTGGCTGAGGCATCAAGACCTAACATATCAACATACGATTTTTATTTCGCTATACAATGTTATTAATTATATTTTTTACACACGCTAACACTTAACTATTCTGAATGAGCTCTAACATACAATGAGTGAGCGAAGTTATAGTAAAAGAGGAACGAAGTTTTTGAATTGCATCGTTTTCAAGAAGTTTTATTGTCATTTCGCACTTTTCTTATCAAGAACAATTAAACTCGATTTTTGAATTTTTATAATTAAAAGGTTCACTTCAATTGATGGATCACTGATGATAATAAAGGACATTTGATTTACACACGCGAAGATATTAAGCTATTAATCAATATTCCTCTATAATCCCATGCTCAGAATATGAAAAATGATAAGCTAACAGAAGTTATCTTTCAAGGATACATCTTTCCTTTATCTCTAATCAAAAAAACATGTCAATAATAAACCTCCTTTTATGCGGTGTTTGACGACACGTATTTTCATAATTACACGTTGCACAAATAAACAGGTAAGTGCAAACTTTTACTTAGTATGGTGCAGGTCACTTAAAAGCGTCATTAGTCCGAAATTTTTTTTTTTGATAATAGCATGTGATTTTTATATAAAATTATAAGTAAATTTATAAAATTGCTGCCGATAGGCGGCAAAAAAATTTTTACTTATTATATAATAAAAAAATTTTTTACTTATTATATAATAAAAAAATTTTTTACTTATTTTATAATAAAAAAATTTTTTACTTATTATATAATAAAAAAATTTTTTACTTATTATATAATAAAAAAAATTTTTACTTATTATATAATAAAAAAATTTTTTAATTATACATAATGTTATTATATAATTTCCCCACTAAAAAAATTCTTTGCATTATTACTAGTTTCGTCGACCAATGGTCTCTTTGTTATTTCAGAGATCACAAACCTCTCTTTTATTTTGTCCACGCTGCTGGGCAGCATGTTGTTTAGCTTTGCTGAGACGTGGCATTAGTTGAAAAAAAATAAATCATCAGCACATACATATATGCTTATCGGGAAAGTTCGGAATTATCATAATATGGTCACATGATCACCTATCGGAATTTCATGGGAGATGAGTCCAAAATTTCAATTTTATTAATAAAACTCTTAATTTTTAAAACCTTATAACACAAAATATTTTTAATAAATATAAAATTTGAAACCATAAATATGAAACTCAAATAGCCATTCTATTATAAATATGGTGTTAAATTATTATATATAAAGTTATAAGGCCTCAAAATTGACTAAAACTTTGATGGCTATAAGTAATTGATTATAGGTTTCTTATAATATTTTCAGCTATAATTAATATATTTATATATTTCTTATTTGTTTTGAGGCTAAAACTTGAATCAATTTTCTGTTTATATTCTCATGTAAAGTTATCAGAAGAAAAATAGGATTATCTCTTTAACAAAGAACTTCGGTTTGCACGTTAATTTAATCATTGTAAGCAAGAGATACGTGCTATAATAAAGTCATCCAACTTTGATTATATTATAATTACATATTAAAAATACATAACGACAAAGCATTCTATAGCGATAGTTAGTCTCCTCTTTTTATAAATACAAATTAATCTGACGAATTATCATTCTTTTTCTTGTATCTTACAAAATCCGCAGCAATGAAATATTCGTTTTCCGGAGCATTCGTTTCATGATATCCCAACGGGCCAAAATCACAATCGGCACAAATTAGATATTTTATTCCGGTTAGTTCTACTGTTTTCAAGAACCCAATATTTTCAAAGTCCATCATCTCAGTTAAACGCCAATAAGGTTGGAGTTCTTCATGCTCAGTGGCTGTTGTATTTTGTTGGTTTGTTGTAGTTGTTTCCCCGACATTTGATATATTGAGCTGTATAATCCACAATATATATATACATGATTTAATTTTTCTATCACAACCACAAAAGAACATAAACGAAATAAATTCAATAGATAACGTAAAACAAACAAGTTCTCTCAACCTTTCCTTTTGGTTTCTCAACCCAACTACCAAGATTTTGTCTTAGAATGAATGACTGACATAAAGGTTGTGGGCAATAAATGTCGAGAGCGTTGAGAGCATTTTCTGTTATAAGTTCTGCTTTGGGGTTTGAAAATTCGGAAAAAGGAACACCGGGATTAAGGCGATTTTGCGTAGTAGACATTGAAGAAAGTATCTATATTTTAATTTGATGACCATTTACGTTTATTTTTTAAAATATTTGTCATGTGATATATATACGTAATGAACGCTATGACTCAAAAGTATACAAGGTCTCGTCTCTTTATAATTTAGCTCTTAATTTATCCATAATTTCCTTTGGATTTAAGACACTAGCGGGATATGGCAACAACGCCACCTTCTTTAGACATTCGCCACCATCTACTACCATAATGTGACCTAAATAAAAAATATAGATGCAATGTCACATGTATGCAATGTTACGTGAGGATAACAGAAAGTGGAAATATGTTATACCAGTCATATAAGAAGCAGCCTCTGACGCCAAAAAAACTGTCGCGTGCTCGATATCTTTGATTTTACCCTACATAAACGTCATGATGGTTCACCAAATGATTAAAACAATTAATTAGTTAAATAAGTAATAAATCGTCGATAACATTCTAAACTTACAAAACGTTGCAGAGGAATCGCTTGTAAATATTCATTTGAGCCACCTGGTGGTAATAATCTGGAGAATCCCTCGGTATCAGCAATTGGTCCCGGCGCGAGACAGTTCACGCGAATACCATGAGGTCCCCATTCCACTGCGAATAACTAAAATTTCAACTTTTTTTTATTAAATATTTTCCTTTCTCGCAGTAAATAATTTAAAAAGATAGTCTTTTTACCCTGGTCATACTATCGATTCCTGCTTTTGCGGCTGAAACATGAACCTAAAGAAATTTGAGGTCATATCAAAAATTACATTAACTTGGAGGAACGAAAACTTTTTAACCTTCCCAATCATCGTTATTTTTTTTTAAAAAATTACCTGAAATAAAGTAGCTTTCAATTCGATTAAAAGAGCATAAGAAATTATTTCTTAATTAGTTGCAAAATTGTAAAAAAGCAACCCAATACTTACCAGTATAATGCAACGTTGTCGACACATTAATTATTGATCCTTTGGATTTTTTCAGATATGGAAAACAAGCCTTGGAGACATTAAAAGTGCCAAGCAAATCTATTTCCACTACGGTTCGGAAAGCATTATATGAAAGAAGTTCGGCGGGTGCTAGGAAATTTCCGGCTATAGCAGCGAGACTTAAATCGATTAATAGTTTCATGATTTATCATTAAATTCTTGACGCGTAATTATTACTTACCTGCTCCATTGATCAGTATATCAATTTTACCGAATTTTTCAATAGCTTTTTTTACAGCTTTTTCAACCTCGTCAGGTTTACGTACGTCAGCCGCCACCGCCCTAGAATACATTTGAATTCAATTAGGTTTCCAAAGAAAAGAATTTATGCGCGATTACATGCTAAATTCGAAGAACTCACAAAACTTCACCACCCGTGGCTTTACGCATTTCTTCAGCAGCCTTCTCTAAACGTTCGAGACTGTTTTTCGTCAAAAAGGGGTTAAATTAAGAAGAAGAAAGCATCAGGTAAATTGACCGACCTTCTGCTCGTAATTACCGCACTTGCTCCATGAGTAAGCAATGCCTCAGTCATCCCTCTACAGATTCCACTTCCACCTTAATGCCCCCATATAGGAGGAACAATATGAACAATGTTGTCACAAGCGTTATAATAAAGACGAAAAAGGATGACAAATATTTTTGTACCTCCGGTCACGAACGCAACTTTTCCTTTTAAAATATCCGTCTTAAAAATGTCTGTTGTCGTCATTGTGCCTGAACTTGGAATTGGCTATTCTAGCGGTAATGATAAAATAACGAACGATATCAAGAAAATTTGGAAAGTTACACCAACATCAAATTAAAACAATGAGCGGTATCGGGTAATGCTTGGTCATGAGAAAATAAGGAGATCACTGCGTAATTTTAAGTAAGTTCGAAATCGAGGAAGGGCGCATGTTTCCTCGAGAACTGCAAAAACCAGCCGAGGCGCAGTCTCTTTTTCGTTCATAATCAAACAATGGTATGACACAAAGGGGTGATGACTGTATATCATACATACATAGCTGTCTTATAAGAGTAAAAATTTTATATCTAAACATATATAATATTTTCTTTGTTTCTCTGTCTTTATAGCCAATAATATAGACTTAATTACTCTTTGATTACTTGACAATAATTTCCACCCTGGTTAATAAAGTCGCGTCTAAAAAAGTCTGAACCAATAACTCTTCAAACACCCAGTCCACCTTTACACGAACAGATAGAAAATTCACAATGATCAAGATTTGGTCAATCAAAAAAGATAACGCGCAAGCCGAGAAAAAGAGACCTAAAGTTAGTGCTGCTCAGATTCGTGTGCAAAAGGGTAAGTATCTCGGAAGTTATTTTGGAATTTTGGATGGTGCTGCTGCGGGCAAATTTTTCTCTACAGATGTGTAATGACATTTCGAGGTTTTACGGTGTTTTGGTTAGTCAAAATCACAGTTTTACTACATCAAATTTGGCAGCTGTTATGGTTCTCACCGGGACACCAACTTTGACATATCATAATGTATTGAATAAAAAACACACTATTAACAAACTTTTTTAATAATTCTTTTGTTATTCTCAAAGACTTGACTGAACTGGCACTTCCTGACACGATGCAGATGATTTTCCCCGATGAATCAGATTTGCTCAATTTCAACCTGTCTATAAAGCCAGATGAAGGTATGGATTTCTAAAGTGTTAGATTGAAGTGATTTATTCATCTTTATTCTAAGTTGCCCATATCTCCGCTCGATCAGGTTTTTATAAAGGTGGCGTCTTCAAATTCACATTCAATATAAACAACAATTATCCTCATGACCCACCAAAAGTTCGGTGCATTCAAAAGGTAACCAGCTTATTTTAATTGATCCATCGTGAATGTGAAGAACAAGAACCAAAAATAATTGAATAATCATTTCTTTCACTCTCTCTCATTCATATAGATTTATCATCCTAATATCGATCTTGAAGGGAATGTATGCTTGAATATTCTTCGTGAAGACTGGAAACCTGTGTTGAATCTTAACTCGGTCTTGGTAGGACTGCAGTATCTATTCTTAGAACCTAATGCAGATGATCCACTCAATAAAGGTAACTTATTGGTCATTCTCTCTCTCTCTCTCTCTTCACTAATCATATCCATTTTTACATTCTCACCCTCTCATAATGCTTTTTTTTTCATTAGATGCCGCAGAAGATTTGAGAATGAACCGGAAAAATTTCGAATACAATGTAAAACAATCGATGAAGGGAAAAGATGTGAAAGGAATCTATTTTGAAAATGTTTTGGCTTAATTATGTTATCCCCCTTTACTTCATCGTACATTTCAACAATCAATTAATGTCTTTACTACTACTATTACTACTATTATTTCATCACAGTCAATCAATTAATTTTTCTATGTAATTAAACAGTTATTCTCTTTTCACCCTCTTTTTTTTTTACATAACAAAATACATAAACACTCAAATTCACATCACCTTCTACAACAGAATAACCCACCAACAACCATCACCAACAAATAATAAGAATTCAATAGTTTTCTTTAGTAGTATAAGATTAATACAATGAACTTTTGAAATCATGAAATTATTATCAGCATCCTCTATATATATATATATATATGGCATACATAATTTATATATATATTTGAAATGTAATAATTTCTTTACTACTTATCATGCCTTTTTGATTGAGATTAACATGTGATTTTGTTTTCACAAAAAAAGAATAATCTTATTGTGTGTTGATAAAATGTAAATATGTATGCGATTTGACATGCATGATTTTTTTGAATTATTCAATGCAAGTGGAACAAATTACTGAAGCGGATTGAGGTTTTGAGGCTATCGCTTGCTTAGATTCGTTATTATTTGCATGTTTAGAGAAAAGTGACGTCAATTTGATAAGTTAAAAACTTACTATACCATGATGATGATTATGATATTTGGTTTTCTGCTGAAAAGAAACGATGCAAGTAATTCTTGCTGGCATTCATTAACGCCTACCGAATTCAAACAAAATTCCACTACTGCTAGCTATCTTCTATTAAATATTTTCAAATTGATTGACCGAATAAAAAAACTTACTATATATAAATCTCCACCATTCCATTTTTAATGAACTCTCGAATAACGATAATAACAAAGCAACACATTATTATTCTTTATTCTCAGTAATAATCTTTTCGTATTACCAAATCCGATAAATCGACTTCAGTACCAGGGATCACATTATACGGACTTTTAATATCGAACGCTCTATAAGCGAAGTTACCACGAGAAATATGAATTCAATGAAATTAATTCAATTAAAATAAAAACGCCATGAGAAAAGACATGTCCATACTCTGGGTAACGAATGCGTCTAATTAATGGTTTTTCAAGCTCTTGGACCTCAAGCCTATTAAATTGTTTGATTCAATAGTTAATTATCTCGAAGATATTTATTGAAAATTTTTAAAATGAATATACCTTTCTTTCGCGTGAGCTTCCATTTTCAGCATAGATTCAATTTGAATACGTCTATTAACCGGCTCTGGTGTAATCCATGATTCCACAAGCTAAAAACAAATTGATGAAATTAGGCTTATTTCTTTCTTTTTTTTTTTGATAATATTATAATTTACTTACAGCCGTTATTGGATGTCTTTCCTAAAGGAAAGTATAAAAAATTAGTATCTATCGATTAATTCATTGATCAAGTTTTAAGACAGTAATACATACTAAACCATTTTTTGTGATGTATTTATCGACGTGATACCACGCAAACCCAAGAATAACCACAAATAGACTGTTACGCCAGAATGGAGTATTAAATCCTAACAAAGTCGAGAAAAGTTGTCACGTAAAAATTAAGCACACAAGCTACGAGCTCACGTCCGTTAGATGTACCTGGTTCTTTAGGGAATTTAGCGGTTTCTTCGGTCGAATGTTCGTCGTTGTCGTCATGAGACGCTGAGGCGTACTTACGAATATTAGATGCAACGCTGCTGCCGCTGCTACAAACTAATAAATTATTTTTATTATTACGTTCGCGTGGGTATAGAGATCGGAAAACTGTCGGGTTATTTGTTTTAGTTAAAAAGAAACGTGAACGTAAAAAAAGCGAGGACATTATAGATTTCGAGATTCGTTTGTCGATCTTATCATTGTACACATACCGATACATTTTTAAGAATCTGTTTCCTGATTTTCCTATCAATCAATGGATGTTGAACAAACTTTCAAATATTTGCATAATAGGGAACGCCAGATCATTAAATTTACTGTAATGGTCGATCGTTTTCTTGGGAAATTGATGGGGAGTGTGACGGAACTTTTTTTTCGAGTTAACTCCGGGCCCATTGTAAAGTTACCAAATAAAGATATTATATTTTAAATATATCTAAATGCTGGTTTTGCCCCAATTAATTGACCAAATCTCAAACAGTAAACCATTTCTTTTTGCATTTATCAACGTAATCCACCCACGAATCATCAAAATAGACTGCTGTTAAGTCCCAATGGAATCAAATACAGTCATCTCTTTACAAGAAAGAGTTTTTGTTTTTGTACATTTAGGGAGGTCGTTCTTGTTCTATAACCGGTTTTTAGATTTCGAATTTGTTTGTCGATCTTATTAGGCTTTTTTCCTTTTTAAGAAGTTGTTTTCCTGATTTCCCTGTCAAACAATAAAACAAGAACAAAAGTTCTCTCAAGAAAGAACCCTGACAATGTTTAGAATTGTTGAATTGCTGCGTCGCAATATTAATCGATGATGCATTACGATAGAGATAGGCAATCATACTAAAATCTGCGCCAAAAGACTTACGTATTTAAATAAGTGACTTTTAAGTTACAGTATCAGTGACATATTTTGTCACAAGCCCCATTTAAAGATATAATGGTAAACAAGCGCATTAATAATTATGGTAATAGACAAACGAATGTCAACCGTGAACGAAATAATAATGCTCAAGAAGAAAGTAGCCGTGGTCGTGGTCGTGGTCGAGGAGGCAGAGGAAGTAGAGGTGGCGGCAGCAGAGGTGGCGCTCAGAGAATCAATACCACAGTATCGCATGAAGAAGCTACGAGGAGAGAAAATAACCAAAAAGAATTAATGAATAAAAATTTTGTATCTTCGTCCTTGTCATTGGAAGACAGTGAAGCGATTCTTCCAATGAAACACGGTGAAGAACTAAAAGATTATTGGAGAAAAGCTATTCACCGACCTTTAACGACTCAACGACACATCAGACAATTTATAGGTTCGTGTATTATCGCTGCGGATCAGAAAGACGTAGAAATTGATGATCTGGTGGTAAAATTGGGAATGGATGAGGGATTAGATCGGATCCGTGAAATCTTGAAGTTTCCAGTATCAGCTGATGCTGGAACTTTTCCAAAATTGGCATCATTCCAAAGAGTTACTCTGCTATTTTTCGCCTTACTTACTCGAAAGGCAATTGCGCGTTGTACTTTTGAAAGACAGCTTAACGCGATTTTTTCCCTGTTATACGTCAATTATGACGATTTCATTGTCGAACAAGTCATGACGGTCTTTGAAGAACTCTTGAGACGAAAGAGTTTGGAAGATCAATCAATGCCTTCTGAAAAGATTTTAGAAACCGAAAGTGATTCGATTGTTGTTGCATCCTTCTATCAACCTTTTATGCTTATTGGGAAATTGCTTAAGGAACTACTACGTCGATTCAAAGAGGCGTCTGTCAATGAATCGGTGCAACGTACTGTGCAGCGATTGGATAGTGCTAGATTGATTTGGGAAGAATCGATTCAGAAGAATGAAAATGTCTACAATGATTCTTTAGCCTCCCAAGAAGACAAACATTATGCACTAGAAATTTTAGAAAATGATTTTACATATCTTAAAAAAATGCTGAATATTAATCCAATTAAGGATGAAAAAAAAGAAAAAAAACCTCCGCGAAAATCGGTATTACGCGCGGGGATGATCGCGTATCAAAAAGCAAGATTCGATCCGCCAGGTATTCATTTTTTAATAATTTGACTATCAAAATTCATTCATAGTTTTAAACTTTTTAATTAATAATATTTTCAAGGAAATCTATCTGAGCATGGACCGCGTCATGATAACGATTTTGAAAATATTAGCGAAATCTCTATTATTCCGACTCAAAACGAAATCATTTCCGATACACGTGACCCCTTTCTACCGTTTTGCGATCCGAATTTGCCGCATTTTCTTCCTGCTGGAATTGAGAGACTATTGGACACAAATTTTAGACTTTTGAGGGAAGACATGTTGAATCCGATTCGTCTTGGAATAAAAAACTTTCTTGAATACCTTTCCAAAAATGAAAAAAAAGAAGGAAAAAAATCTCGTTTCGAGAATGGGAGATTCAAATACGATACTGGGATGGATAATGGAGATTTAATTGTATACAGTAATGTTCGATTTATCGACATTATTGTTGATCATCGTCGCGGATTCTCCACTCGCGTCTCATTCGCAGCTCCAAAAATCAGAGGGGCGAAATCAAAAAGGGATCGTAAAGAGTATTGGAGTAAGGCAAAGAAATTGATGAATGGAAGTATGGTTTGTTTGCTTTGGCCAACTGTGACCGAACTTGATGCAAATGTGGATGATAAAAAATTCACACATAAACTATTCTTTGGGTAAATAGTAAATTTTTGGTTTTTTGTTTCTGAACCATCGAAATTAACTATATCTTCTCGCTTATTTAGAACTGTAATTGATCGTGATGAAGATAGATTAGCAAAGAATGAAAATTGGGTTGAAATTGACATTAATTTCATAGATCCCTCCATTTACCCTCTCATGCTTGAAGATATTTCCAAAAAAGATTATTCAAATCCGAATATTGCTACTGGGAAATATATTGTTGAATCAACCGGCGTATACCTCGAATCGTATTATCACGTGTTAAAAAGACTTCAGACCACAAATCCATCAGAATTCCCGTTCGAAAAGTATTTGACACCAATTGAATCAGATGAGACACATAATCAATTCATATCTCCGCCGCTATATGCTCGTGCTCCTCAACATGAATTTATTCTTTCTCGCACAAAAAGATGTAATCATGTTCCATCTCCGATTTCACTCAAAGTCAATGATATTAAATCGCAAGAACAATGCATAGAACAATTAAAGGCGGCTGGCCATGTAGATGAAACCCAAGCTAAATCTATCGTGGAATCTTTATCACGTGAAATCGCATTAATTGAAGGTTCGAATTGATTAAAAGCTTTATAGAAATATAATGTAATCTATTCATTTATTAAAATTTTGTCATTCAATGAAAAAGGACCACCTGGAACTGGGAAATCGTATGTTGGCGTGGAAATCGTTGAAATTCTCCTCACCAATAAAATTTACCCAATTCTTGTCATATGTTATACAAATCACGCGTTGGATCAATTTTTGGAGGATATTCTTGATCGGGGCATCGAAAAAATGTAAATATATAATTACAAAAATATACTACTTAGTTACTCTATTCTTAATATAACTTAAACTATCTTTTTGATTGTTGACAGGGTACGATTGGGAAGTCGATCAAAAAGCGAAAGAATCCAGCAATTTAGGTATTTATGACCCACCAAAAAAATCTGCTAATTTTTTTTCTGAATCCGCTAATTTCTTTCCTGCGTTATTTATGAATTTCCAGCATAGAGGAAATTGCGCGTTCTAGCGCCAGAAGTCCATCGGCTCGACATCTTCTATATTTAGCATATAAAGACCTTGAAAGCATAGAAGAAAAAATTGATGATGTCAAAAAGCGTCTAATGCGACCTAATCTTTATTGGAATGATGTTAAACAGATACTATATACAGACTATCCGAACCTCTATAGACAATTTATAGAAAAAAATAAAGAATTTGATGATGGATGGGATAAAAATGTCAAAAACAGTTTTGATTACTGGACTCAATATCATGACATTAAACTGGGAGAACGGATGAAAGAAGGGATTATTAACAAGATAGATACGAATAACGTTGCGCATAATAATATTTACGATCTTCTGATTAGCGACGATACTGATGATGATATCGAGAACATGAACAATGAAGAGGAAATTTATTGGAAAAATTGGGAGCCACCGCAAGGAAATCGGGATATTGATGAATTGTTGCACGCAGTTGATTTATGGCAAATGTCGAAAGATGAGCGAAAAAAAATATTAAAGCATTTGAAAGTACAGATTTTCAATGATTCTATTGAAATTCTTCAAGATTTTCAGACCCGTCATGAAGAAAAAAGAAAAGAGCTTGAAAGTATATACGATGAGACACGTCGACAAATTCTTGAAAGTAACCAGGTATAAAGTTGATTCTGTGTTTTGAAAATAAATAATTTCCCAAAAATTCAGATTAATCCGAAAATATTTTGTCACAACACGCAGATTATCGGAATGACGACCTCAGGTGCAGCGAAATTCCAATCAATTATTGCTTCAATTGGTCCTCGAGTCATTATTTGCGAAGAAGCTGGCGAAGTTCTTGAGTCTCATATATTGAGTTCTTTGACACCTGCTACTCAACATTTGATAATGATTGGTAAAATTCAAGCAGCTCATTTCCATTTACAGTATTTTTCCTTACTAATAATTTGCAATGGGTTTAGGTGATCATTTACAACTACGTCCCCATATTGCAACCTATTATTTAGATATGGACTCTGATGTGTACGCGATAAATAATTTTGTCTTTCTTGATTTTCTAACTATTTAATCAATGCTTATATTTGATATTTTATAAGTGGAAAAAATTACCAGTTGAATAAATCACTTTTTGAAAGACGTATGTATATTGTTAAATTGTTTTTGGTTCCTTATTTATTAATTATTAAACTTGGAATTCTTATTAGTTGTTCATGGCGATAACGCGATGAAATTACCAATGTCGCAGTTAACGACTCAGGTATATTTCCTGGAACATTAATTGTTAGTTATTTTATTGCTTTCTCAAGTTACCATACTAACAATTTTATATCATGGCAATCATTAGCGTCGTATGAGGCCGGAGATTGCTGAATTAGTTCGTAAAACATTATATCCGGCGTTACAAGATGCACCAACAACAACCAAATATCCCAAAGTATCTGGTGTACAGCATAATGTCTTTTTCCTGGATCACCATCATCCCGAAGACAAATCGGGCTCGAATCAATTAGCTATGCAGTCTCACTCGAATACGTATGAAGCTAAGATGATTGTTGAAATGGTGAAATATTTTGTTCGAAATGGTTATAATAAACCAGAAGATATCGCCATTCTAACTCCTTATCTAGGTCAATTAATCAAAATTAGGCAAGATTATAGATATATATTTATATGTGATTACTTTCAGCAGCTTTTTCTGTTCATTCTTTTTAACTTTATTTCTCGGGCAATAGGGATGCATTGAAGCGCTCTCACATGACAGTTGTGATTGATGAGCGTGATGAACAGGCCATTGAAGATTTAGATGATGAGGAAAATGGGAATGAAAACGATGAAGATAACAAAAAATTCACGAAGATGAATACTTATGCTGCGAAAAGGTATTCTGTAACAAAATCTTATTATTTTAAAAGATCTCCCAATATAAACTTTTTTATCGATTCTTTTCAAGATCTTTACAACAACAAGTGATTTTGAGAACTGTGGACAATTTCCAAGGCGAGGAAGCGAAAATTGTAATCGTATCACTTGTTCGAAACTCAGCAAATGTGAAGGACGTAAAGCAAGCAAACATTGGTTTTGTGAAATCTAAAAATCGAACAAACGTGTTACTATCACGTGCAAAACATGGTATGTTTCTTCTTGGAGACGCCGAATTGTTTCATCTTAAATCGCCAATGTGGAAAGAAGTAATTGAGATCCTGCGTCAGCGAAACCAAGTTGGAAAAGAATTTCCAGTGGTGTGTGAGCAGCATCCAAATTACAAAAATTATATTTCCGAGCCTGAAGGCTTTGGTGAGGTATCTCCAGATGGAGGATGCATGGAACCATGCCAGTTCCAACTTCCTTGTGGTCATCAATGTCCATATAAGTGCCATGCTGACGATAGGTACGAATATTGACGCGCCTTTACTCGTCCGATTTTTGACTTATTTATATAATTTTCAAATTAGGGAACACATTGGTGTATTTTGTCAGAAGCCATGCGTCAAGCTTCATGTCGAATGTCAACATCCTTGCCAGTTACGATGCGGGGATGAATGTGGATTATGCAGATTAAAAGTCGATAATATAACTCTACAATGTGGTCATATATATTCCAAACCGCTTTGTTTTGAAGCACAAAAACCAGAAAGTTTGAAATGTCACGTATTGGTGAATCGTAAACTTATTCACTGTGAACATGAAATGAACATGCATTGGTTTGTAACGTAACACTTAATTTTTGATTTTATTTTTAATTATATCATTCATTATAGTTTTTTCATGCGATTAATTTACCAGCTTTGAAGATGTTAAAACAAGCAAATGTCCCAGTGTATGTGGCGAGATTTTGGAATGCGGACACGAATGCAGGTCAGTATGTGATGATTGCCAAAAAAGAACAATTCGAGCGAATAATGTCAATCCAGAATTGGATAATGTAACGCCCATGCCTATAAAGAGAACTAATCACGCAAAAAGATGTCAACAAGTTTGTGGAAGGTAAATTGACTATTTCGAATAAGAGGCACATTTTTTAATCGTTTCTCAATTGATAAAATGTGAAATTATTTTTAGGAACCTCTACTGTGGCCACACATGTGAAAAAACTTGTCACGAGGGTCAACCATGTCCTCCGTGCAGAAAGCCGTGTAAGGTTATGTGCAAACATGCGAGATGCAATTTACTATGTTTTGAACCATGCAGTGTTTGCGCGGAGCCTTGTGATTGGAAATGCGTACACCAAGGAGAATGCCCGTTAACATGTGGTGCTCCGTGTAATCGACTTCCATGTAATGAACGTTGTGAAAAAAAATTGGAATGTGGACATCAATGTCCAGGTAAGATTCTAATAAAATGCTTATTAATTAAAATATGATGATAACTATTATTACTATTAGGCATCTGCGGAGATATTTGTCCCTCAAAAGAATTTTGTCCTATTTGCGCAGCCGATAATGTAAAGTCGCAAGTTGTGGACCTAATTATGCAAGAAACGTTTGAAGAAGTGGATTGGAACGAAGAACGATTGGTGGTGTTGAATTGTGGCCATTGTTTCACCATGGGTAAATATTATATATTAGTTTATTTAGCTTTTCATATAATGCTAATTTGATCATTTTGTAAATTATTAGAAACAATGGACGGAATTATGGAAATAGATTCGTTTTATACCAGTAAAATTAAAAACGGTAAAATCGAATGGAGTAAAACAAATGAACTACCTTCTAAACATACAGAAGTAAAAGTCTGCCCCTCTTGTAGAGGAGGAATTAATTCTCGTCGGTAAATATACCTTTTTCCTTTTATTATGACATTTCTTGTTAATATAATAATATTAACAATAGTTAACCCGCACAATCTGAAGATATGGTCGTATAATAAAAAAATCAACATTGAATCTTCAAACGAAAAAATTTTTGCAAAAATATGAAAAAGATATAGAAACTCTCGAAGATAATCTGGAAAATTCAATTAGAACAGCCGATCAGGATAGGGAAAAGTTTCTGAACAAAATGGTAGAAACACTCAAAAAACACAATGCGCAAGAAATAAAAAAGGACGGTTTAATCGTAAAAATCAAGGACAAAGAAGAAATTTCAGAGTTGACTCCGTTAAATAAATTTATAGAAATATTGGAATATGGAATACCTAAATCCCAACAGGCTTTATGGAATAGACACATTAAAAAATTTATTTGGACGTATAGAGATTTGTCATTGACTATTCTTGCATCGAAAAATCCCGTATGTATACATTTCATTTTATTATCAACATTTTACTTGGATTGGCATGAAATAATATTACTCATTATTAATCTTTAGCCATACAAAAAAGCCTACGAAGCAGCCGTGGCGAATTTATATCGGAAAAAAACTGAAGCCGAAACCGAAGACGACTTAGAACGGGACCTATTAGCACGCTTTGAAGCATTGAGTTTCACCCCGAATGATTCCATCAAGAAGTTTGAGGAGACACTCAATGAAGTGAAGATCAGACCAAAGGTTGACAAAAAAATATATCTGTATGCTTTTACAGTAATTGTTAATATTCAAAAAGCATTATTCCAAGAAAGTTGCAAGGTTTTGGAAAAATTGAAACCGTTGGCGGGTTCATCTTGGGAAGGTTGGAAAATTTTCAGCTTAAGAATTCTGGAATCAACTGGTTCGCATATAGAGAATATAATGAAGGTCGCTGAGGAAACGAAGTAAATTTTTCTAGTTATAATAGAAATTTTTGATTTTTATTAGTGAATAATCAATTGACACGTTTTTCATCAAAGGCATAATCGCACTTATGTGCTCGCTGGAATTCAGCATGCAAACTTAGCATATCAAATCGGAAAATTTAGGGTCTCATATTCGAATGAGATTACTGAGTCGTTAGTAAAAGATATCGAAAACTACTGTGACATCATCAAGAAAAAACTCTACAGTCTAAGAATCGAAGTATCCCGACTGAATGCAGCGCATCTCGAATCACAATGTCATGAAACGATTGAAAATCTACTAAATGATGTCGAAGAGTTAATAAAAGCTGTAAAAGCTAGGACACAAATAACAAAAGAGGAAAAATTGGCGATTTTCCGCGCGATGAAAAATGAATTTCAGGGATCTGGTAAATTAAAATTCAAATTGAATCAAAGTATTATATTCAATTATAATTAATCGGATTTCTTATACAATAGGTCATTGGTATGAATGCCCGAATGGTCATCCCTACTCAATTGGTGATTGTGGTGGTGCTGTGGTAGAGTCAACATGTCCAGAGTGTGGTGCGACAATTGGCGGGACTGGTCATAGACTTATAGGTGACAATCGTCAAAATGCAGAGTTTGAATCGTTAATTTGATTAATTTATAAATATCGTCTTTTCTTTTTTGGTTTTGTACATACTGTAAAAAATCTTTTTTGTGGATTATAAATTGTTAGAGCACAATTTACGATCTTTATGCATATTTTTATGTTCTGTATTAAGTAAATGTCACCCACAATTTCGAATAGAAATTAGGCATTTCTAATAATCCTACATTTTACAATTTTTCTATGCCAAAAATTAGACGGAGCAAACAGAACTAACATTTTTTTGATTGTGTAAGTCAACTTTTTACAGAATGGCTTCTTACAAAAAAACCACTGCAGATACCCAGCATGTGATTTTTAGGGATATATGAAATGTTAATAGCAAGGTTAGGGTTAGGCTAGAGTCAGAGTTAAGCTTATATTGTATCTTGCGCACAAAAAAATATATAGTAAAATTTCGCAAGGTCAGAAAGTAGTTTATTAATTTGTCAAGCATCAGAAATAACAAATTACCTCTAAAATAATTCCTACGAATGAACTTTCTTATCGTCAACATATATGTAACTCGCAAATTATTTGGTACCGTAAATCATCCGACTTTTTTCTAAATATTTTGTTTCACAAATAAATAAATTTAAAACTTATGTTAATAATTTGCTAGTCTTGAGGTTAAATAGAGATTTAGATTTTTTTTACTATATATAATTGTTTCATTCAGATAATTATAATGATAGCCTTCTTATCTTACATTCAATTACACAGTCGATTTTTATTTGAACAAAAATTCATCCCCAATTCAGGAACAACTATTCTATTTTTCAACATTACTTCCCTTGAAAATAGTCACTGATGATGTATTTTCTTTCAGTATAATTCTATAATAATCTTTCTTTGGTCACAATAGCCCTTCCGAGCGTTGATAAACATTATCCTTTAGTTCGGAATCATTAAGGTAGTGTCTGAAATTAATGTGCACGATGTGAATATGTGCACAGGTTTTTTAAAATCCTTCACCAATTTTTGCTAAAGTATGTGCACAGTATTCATCAAATTTTTGTTTGGTGTGCACATATTTCAGAATTATTCACATAGTTTTGTATTTAGCGTGCACAATTTTCACATGTTTTTTGAGCTCTGATTTCTGAAGGGAGTTCGCACCTAGCGGTAAGTGACATTTGTGCCATATCAATGAGAAGAAACCAACCAACAGATCTTTTAGGTCACATTGTCTTCTCATATATCATGCCCGTTCAAATATTAGAGAAGAAAATCGCAGATCAATGTAACAAAAATGTCTATAATTCGCAAAAACGTATTAATTCAAACGAGTTTAAATTTATTAAACTCGCCTCGTTTAATCTTAATTAAGAATATTATATTCGTGGTGGTTATATATCGCGTTTTAACGTCACAATTTAACAAATTAAGAGTATATGGCATTCGACGAACTGCTATAGAAGCATACAAATTCGTATTTGCTGTTGCATTACGTGTTATTTTAGCTGGCACTCCGGGAGTAAAAGGAAAGATACGAACAGAAGTTGATAAAGCAATTAAAGAAATTGAAGAAAAAGTTGCGCCGAAAAAGCCAGGTGATGCAAGATATTTGGAACTACCTGAGGAAGGATTGGACGAGGTGCGACTAAAAGAAGAGCTGAGAAGGTAATGACTTGGATAATATCGCTTTTTGAATAAGAGATTTGAATTTAAACATGCGTAAATTGTAAGCTTATATTCATAAATCACTAATTTTGTTCCCAAGATATCGATCTATGGGAGATATAAAATGGGAAGAAGGACGTGTTTCTGGTGCTATTTATCATGGCGGACAAGATCTATCGCGAATTCTTTCGGAAGCTTATACTATGTTCTCGACAAGTAATCCTTTACATCCAAACATATTTCCTGGGGTACGAAAAATGGATGCTGAAGTTGTTGCTATGGTGCTCAACTTGTATAATGCTCCCGAAGGAGCCTGTGGGACTACAACTTCTGGAGGCACTGAAAGTATATTAATGGCTTGCAAAGCGTATCGTGATTTGGCTAAAGATGTAAAAAAAGTCACGAATCCTGAAATGTACGTGAGACTCTCGCGTCGCGTTTTTGCTAATATTTGTTTCAATATGGATTGATCTATTGACATTCTTATATTTATGTAGGATTGTTCCTGAAACTATACATGCAGCATTTGACAAAGCTGCATCATATTTCAACATATCGATTATTCATATTCCTGTTGATCCGATTACTGGCAAAGTAGACGTTAAAGCTGTTGCACGTGCTGTAAATTATAATACAATCATGGTAAATATTTGCTTATTGTTATTTTTCTCCATAACTAATATAATAACGATAAAATGAAATTTTGAAAATAGATTGCTGGATCGGCACCAAATTTTCCACATGGTATTATTGATGATATCCCCGCATTAGCAAAAATCGCAAAGAAACACAAGATCGGGTTACATGTTGATTGTTGTCTGGGGAGCTTTATGGTCCCGTTCTTAGAAAAGGCTGGGTTCCCTACTGAACCTTTTGATTTTCGTATAGATGGAGTTACCTCGATATCGTGTGATACACACAAGGTAAGATTTTATAGGCGACAATCCCATCCCAAATTCTTCGATTTTAGAATTTTATTATAATCGTTTTATAATTTAATTAGTATGGTTTTGCGCCAAAAGGATCTTCGGTAATAATGTATCGATCAAAAGATTATCGTAAATACCAATACTTTTTTGCACCTGATTGGACTGGTGGAATATATGCTTCTCCATCTATCGCTGGATCCCGGTAACAATCTTATTTATCGAAGACTTATTTTTAGATTTGATTTTTTTTAATATCCAATTTATTAAAGGCCTGGAGCCTTGATTGCTGGTTGTTGGGCTGCATTGACGAGTATCGGAAAATCCGGTTATATTGATGCCACAAAGAAGATTGTAGGATGTGCAAAAAAGATAGAAGCTGGGTGAGTTTCATATTTATATTTATTTATTTAATCAAATTAATTGATTCATATAATAAGAAAAATTAAATTAATCTTCTTTATAGGATTCGCGAAATTGATGATCTATTCGTATACGGAAAACCCCTTGTGTCAGTTGTTGCATTTGGATCGAAAACTTTAAATGTTTATAATCTAGCCGATAAAATGACACAAAAGAAATGGGAACTTAATTCACTTCAAAATCCGCCAGCAATTCATATCGCATGCACCATGTTAACTGTTCCAAATGTCGATCAGTTCCTTAAAGATCTTCGTAATGCTGTCCGAGAACTAAAAGAACAACCTTTCCAAAAAAACAGCGGCACGGCTGCTTTATATGGCATGGCAGCAACTGTACCTGATAAAACAATAGTTAATGATGTGGCTGCTGGGTATTTGGATGCGTTATATTCCGCATAAATTATTGGAGTGGCACGAATTGGTTTGAATTTTTGATAGGTTCACTTGACTATTTATGTGAGGGCTCTAATTAATCATAAGACAACCAAATTAACTAAATCAATTTTTCATTATTAATTAATTCACAATATGAAGAAAAGGTATTTTTCAAAAAGAAAACCTATTCTTCTGTTTATATAAATCGTCAATCTTTTTTTTGTTTCTTGAAAAATTGATATTTTAATAATATCTTTTCTCTAAATTTTTTATTAATATTAATTATAAATTTATTAATCTTCTTATATATTTATTAATATTTATTATTTTACAAAAAAAAATAAAAAAGTATTTAAAATAAAGTCTTTATTTTTATTTTTATATTAATTAAAAATATTTATTTTTATTTTTAAAAATATATTATTAAATAAATAAAAATGTATAACTTCTTATTTGATAATATAAGTTTAATAAATATTTATATTATTAATTCAATTTATATTGTAAAAAAAAATTATTTAATTTGTTCTAATATAATAATAATTAGATATTTTTATAAATTATACTTCAATTTCTAATATAAGTTATATGAATTTTTTTAGAAAATAGTAATTAATATATTAAAAGATAATGAAAATATAAATAATAATAATAATATAATTATAGAAATTAATAAATCAAATTTAATAAATGAAAATATTATAAGAAAAATAAATTATAAGAAGTATTAAATAAATAGAAAAAAATATTTTATTAAAATTATAAATATAAAAAATATAAAAATTTTAAAAAATATTATATTAAAATATATAATATCTAATTTTATTATATATATAAATTCTTAAA